TCTGAATATTCAAATATTAAAAGAAGCCAAAAAACTAGAAGTATCATATTGATTAGAAGAATTCGAGAAAAACTTCAGACTTGCAAAGAAAGGAACTGAGATAACAGATATACTAATAGAAAAAGACAAACAGAAATTTCTACAATATAAAAACTACAACATTTTCATACTAGAACAGCTACTTGACTGAGCAGCACAAGAATATAACTTGAAAACAAATAAAAATATATAGAGAAACAAGATCAAAAGGAAAGAAAGCAAAATAGTTCCAAAAGCTAGAAAAACAAGTGATAGAGCATAGGAGAACAAAAAAAATCAAGAAAGAATATTAGAAAGAAAAAAGAAATAGTATGAGTTTGAAGGCAACTTTGACCAAAATCAAGTTAGACAGAAAATATAAAGAAAATATGGTAAAGAAAAAAAAAAGAACACTGAACAAAAATAAAAAATAATGAAGACAACAAAATCTGAATCTGACCATATAAAGGTTGTTTCAAAAACAAGAACAAAGAAAAATTTGCATAATGCTTATTTACAAGGAAATTCTGAAGCAACAGAAGAGTGTTAAGAAAAAGTTAGATTAAGTAGTTAACAATTAACCACACAGAAAATGAAATTGAGCTTGAACTAGAGATGCTGAGCTAGAAAAAAGTAATAAAAGAAGACCAGGAGAAGGTGGAGGACAACCAAGAAATACAAGAAGAAATTAGAATAGGAACTCTACCTGAAGAACTGATTAGAAATCAAGTAGAAGAAAAGAAAAAACAAGAAGAACTTATAGCAATCACTCAAAATCTACAAGGTTTAGAAAAAGTTGATTTCTATACAGACAGATCACTATATAAAGAAGAAGCACTCCAGAGAATATGAATGGGTGCAGGCTGGGTAGCACTCGCAAAGTATAAAAAAGAAAATGAAAAAGAGATAGCAAGATTTAGCTGCATATTCAAGAAATAGCCATCATCAACAAGAGCAAAATTAGAAGCTATCTGGACAGCATTATTAGTAGTATCAGAAGATGCAGAGATAACAATATATATGAATAGTCTTGCTTCTATACAAGCACTTAAGGGTAAAGATGGTTCAGAAAAAGAAAGAGAAGTATTCAAGATCAAGAATACAAGTTTCATATAACAAACCCAAAGGGTATAGAAAATAAAAAACCTTAAAGTACAGCTAGATAAAGTTAAAGGATATAGTAGAAATACATATAACGAGATAGTAGACAAACTAGCAAAAGAAGAAGCAAAAGAACAAAAAACAGTAATAGCAAAGTGGCTATGGACAAAAAGATCACATATAATAGCAAGGTAGAAAGATATTATGATAGATAGTTTAATGAAAGAAATTGTAAATAGACTAGCTTTAGCTACTTTAGATACAGAATAGGCAAATTTAGATAGAAATATTAGATGGATTAATAGAAATAAAGAAAAAAAATTAAACTGGAAGAAAATATAAAGATGGATTAATGAGAATAAGGATAAGAACTATACAAGTGGGGAAAGAAATAAGAGGTAGACATTTCAGATCAAGTGACTAGACAAACTACTACTAACCTTAACAAAACTAAATATAAGAAAACTGGTGATGTACAAATCAAACACTTGTATAGTTTGTAAAGAGAAAGCAAAAGATCTAGTTCATCTTGTTAAACATGAAGCGTACCAAAAAATATAGAATATTATTGAAGATGAAGCTAGCAACGAAGGTCTTAAGGTATCCCAAAAGGAAGATATATTAAAAAAGCTTAATAACAAAGAGGCAATCAAGAACCTTTTCTTTGAAAAAATGTGAGAAGAAAAAACAGAAATAAGAAGATATCTAGTAAGAAGTCTTATAATGAAAAAAAGAAAGCAAGAATCAAGAAGAAGATAGAAAACAGAAATGTAAGACGCAAAATATTAGATATGATTAAAAAGAAGTTTGACGAAAGATTCTAGACCTGTATATGAAACTTTAGATGTGAGCTAATAAACGATTGGAAGAAAGAAAATGAAATCACTACCAAAACTAAAAAGAAGAAAAGAACAATATGAAAGAAGAGAGAAACTCAAGAATCAAACAACAAAGAAAACAGAGCCACAGGAAAAAAAGAACAAAAAAAGGTCTTTGAAGAAAAAAAAAAGAGAATCCTAAAGATGATAAAAGAAAACAATTGAAATCTAATCAAATATCATATTAAACCAAGCTAGTTCTCATGGACCAATATTACAAAAAAGAAATAGTAATATCTGATAAGGTTGGTAGCTCTCAGCTAAAGATCGAAAAAACCAAATCTTCAGCAAGTTGAGAATCTAATATAAAGCAAATTGGCTGCAAAGCCAAGTGAATCTTTATTAGTACAGAAATATAGTATAGAAAATTTATATTTAATCTAAATATAAAGTTCTGATACTTCTGATTTAAATAATAAAAGCAGAATCATTAAAAAAAAATAAATAAATCTTTAATATTAAATAACTTTTGATCTACTAGTCTGATTTGGATGATTTAACTATCAAAATATTCATCTTGATATTACAATTCTAATAAGTTTAAAATTACTAAAATCTAATCACAAGATCCTAAAATCATTAAAGTTTCTTGTACTATTTTGTATATAATAAAATTAATTTTATTATATATAAAATAGTATAAAAAATCTTAATAATCTTATGATTCTGTAATTAGATTTTAGCAATTTTGAACTCATTAGAATCATCTTATTAAGACAAACATTTTAACAATTAAATTATCTAAATCAGACCAGTAAATCAAAAGTTATTCAATTTTAAAAATATTAAGAAGGCTTTTAATAATTAATTAAATTGGCCAATTAGAATTAAGCTAGAAGTGATTACACTATATATAGATAGAAGTGACTACTAAGTAAAAAATATTATGTGATAAATAGTACACCCCTAAGTATACTTCTTTATAAATATATTTTTTAAACAAATTACTATAGTCTTAACTATATGATTATTCTTTAAATCATCAAGTTTAGTATACAAATTTGTATGCTAAAATATTTTGATAAAAATTAGATATGAAAAAAAATTTTTTTATAAAATTTTTATCTTAATTGGTTGTATTGATTCTTCAAGACCTAAGTTATATAGTACACCTGCAGCTACAATATAAAATACTTTAAGTAATCTAATTAGAAATTAAAAATTTATATAATAGCTAAAAAATATCATTTTATCTATACTTTTAAGCTATCATATCTCTTTAACATCATCTCAAAAATCAATTATATGAAGTTGGTTATAAAAATCCTTGATCAACTTTAAAGTTATATTATAAAAGAAACCTCTGTATAATGATTATAAAAAATTTTTATATGTATTATATGAAAGTACCTTTTTTGATATTAAATTTAAATACAAAGATCCTATTATAGTCAACTTAAAATAACTGATTTTTGGAATATTGATAAAAAAATTTTATAAAATAAAAATTATATAGTAATTAAAACATAGTGTACTTTTATTTTAGCTTAGAAAATAGAGGATATAGCTTAATAAAATTTAGAGTAAATATACAAAAACAGGTCAAAAATTATTTTAATATACAAATTTATATACTAAAAAGTTTAAAAAATAAAGAAAAAAAACTATATTTATTATATAGTAATTGTACTAAAATTTTTAATCAAACTTTGATAAAAGATATTTTGACAACTATTATATCAAAATTAATAAACTTTTTGGCAATTTTTTAAATATATTAGTTCTGTATAAGCTTGCATATATCAATTCGGATTGACTAATTAAATCTTTAGAAATTGAATATTAGAAATAGGCATGTAAAGTTTGTTATTTTATATTCAAGCCATTATTTTTTTTATGTATATAATACAAAATTAATAAACTTAGAATTATACTTAACTCACAAATACGTCAAGGTTATAATCTTATAAATATCTGATTCAAATAATTAATCTTTTTTTTTTATTACAATCAAAAGTAAATTCACTTTACTTTACAAACTTTTTCTAATATTAATCAGGCCTGTATCTTTATAAATTCTCAGCTTTCAATATTTAGTTGGCTTTTCTTGCTTATAATTAAACCCATCCTTGCTCTACACAAATACATCATGATCATAATACAAGTAATATAACTAAATTAGAGGTAAATTAATTCTATTTGGAATACAAACATAAGAAACCAAATTTTAGGTTGTTTTGTATCATTATTTGCATCTTGAAATCACGAATAAATATAATATAAATTATCACTAATTAATAAACTTAAGCTAGAATATTTGCTAGAAAATTCTTTGGCAATAGATATTAGCACTACTAATATTATTGAATCTGGACGTATATTTAAAACTTTTTCTAAAGCTCAAGTAGCAATTAAAAAATATGCAATGCTAACAAACACTATCATAATATTAGGAAATACAACAAAAAATCTGGATAATAACGATTATAGACAAGCATGATTTGTATATGAAAAACAAGAAAAGTATAATAGAATGAATGAAGAATACACGACTAAGCATACTGAATACTATTTTGCTATCAGTTTAAATTATTATAAACGAGCTAAAGAATTTATAATAACTAAGGCTTATTTGAAATATAATCACAATATTTGTATAAATGCCAAAAAATTTAGTACAGTTATGTACAAACTTGATAAAGATGATTTGGGTTTAGTAAAAAAGCTTTATGATAATAGTCTTAAGATAAAAGATATATTTTTAGTCTTAAACTCTGTTAGTTCTAAGTATATCCATAAACCTGATATTTATAATGCAGTAAGCTATTAGTATTACGTAAACTACAAGATTTAAATGAAATAGAGTTGCTCTTTAAAACTCTGCATGATAATGAAAACATTGTAAAAAATATTGTACTAAAACCTGCATTTAATAATGAATGAGATCAGAATGGTGTATTTATTCAATCAATTTTCTAAATATATTGTGATTTAATTGATGAATTTTTAGTAGAAAAGGATATCATGATCATCGATACTACATACAAGACAAATAGATTCTCAATGTCTTTAATTGCTATTTGTGATATTGATAGATTTGGGTCTACATATCCACTAGCTTTTGTACTTATTTATTTAGAAACACAAGATTTTTACACTTGGGTTTTACAACAATTGAATAAGGTTTTAATTGTATTTACTGGTAATGTAGAAGTTGCAACAATTATAACTGACTATAAATTAGCTCTCATGAAAGCAATTTCTAATGTATTTCTTTCTGCAAAATATTAGTTGTACACATGGCACATTTTTAAAAAACATTAAAAACAAACTTTGGAAACATGTTGATGTTGATAAATTTATAAAAACTATTTAAAAACTTGTCTATAGCAATTTTTAAGAAAGTCAAATCAAGGAAGAAATTGCTAAGTTATAGAAAATATTTCTAGAGGCAAAAGTATATATGTGTGAAACTTGGATACCGTATCAAAAAAGTTGGTTAGCATTATATACAAGATGTAATATTAACCTTGATATCAAGTCAAGTCAATATATTGAAAGTTTATACAGTAAACTAAAAGGGTTTAAAAATTGTATTATTCTAGTCGATAAAATGTTTATGATTCTTTGGAAACAAATAAAAGAATTTTCTTAAAAACTTGCTTATAAAATATTTTGTATCAAAACAAATATATATTCGACAAAACTAATGCTAGTTTGGAAAAAATTAAATTAGCTTGTTCAAAATATATATTTGAACTTTTTATTAAACAGCAAGCAAATCTTGTGAAATCTAATAATTATGAAATATTTGAAAGTAGTAAT